ATCAAATGCATTTAGGGTTAGGGTTATGCAATGAATCTAACAGCATCTACAACATGGTTAGCATTTCGTTACCCCGGCAGGAAACATGGGGAGTGATAGATAAGAAGTGAATGCCATGGAACAAATTGGCCTGGGCTTGAATTCAAAGCTCAGCGTTTCAAATGTGGTATGCGCTCTATCAGGTGAGCTATCCTAATATTTGGCTGAAAACGGCCTCTTAAGTCAGGCAGGAAAAGGTGGTTCAGATACAACACATAATGCACCAAAAAGGTTCTGAATCTGCTCATATTTCATAATTTCTTAATGGCTTTATACATTTGTCTTCATTTTTGCAAGAATTTGAAATTGAATGGGACTTGTGTTGTTAGGACCCCTGCACGTTTATTCATATTGTTTGGTGATTAAAGCTAAAATATAAAGTGAATACATATCACTGACGGTTACTAAAGTGAATTGAATGGATGACGACAGTTTACAGCTTTAGCTAAAATGAAACGTTGAGACCAAGGAAAGATATTCATAAATAAAGACGTGTTTAGCTGTAACTTGTGACCAATATTTTTAAGCTCTGAAAGGTAATAAAAACATGGAAGATATTTCAGTTTGACGTGGAAAGAGATGTATATTGAATTAAATAGATTAGATCACGGTCTGCAACCAAAAACCAATATAGTCATAACTTAACATCCCCTTTTCAAACATGGACAAGAAGTGACTCACATTCTGTATAAAACCTAGACATTATTCAGGATTAGATCAATTGTGTGACGTTAGTGTGCTGACTTTTATTTATACAAGTCTACACACTAACGGCCTACTGCCGACTAAGACTGCAGCAGAGTAGAGTTGGTTCACCTGAATCTGACACAGCAATGAGGAATTTACGGATCTTGTTCATACATGTCACACCGAGCAGCGTATTTTGCAATTTTATGCTCAAACCCAAAGTCTATTAGGTAAACAGAATAAATCCTCAAAACAGACAGTTTTATCATGTGCAGAGAAGCATGTTCTTTTACTTGAGTTTTCCCTCAAATCAGCCACGAAACATATTGCACAATAGGTATGGGTTTTTATCCCAACCCCATTGTGCAATTTATAAATACCAGATATTAAACGAGTCGACTCATTTTTATTTATTGCCTAAAAATACACATTCAGGTGTCAACTGGCAAGCACAAGCACATAAGCACACACAAGCAGCTTCTAGGGTCAAAACATTAAATCATTATTGAATTATTTTAGCAAATAATTATATTAATAGTGTGTGGCATAGTCTTCAGACTTTAAAAACGTTACAATAATTAATAATGATCACCTTACATACTGCAGACCTAAATCTATGACCTGCTTTTAACAGTGGACAAGTCAGTTCACCTTCGAGATTATGTTCAGAGTATGGCAGGCGATGTACATCGTAAATTTATCATATGGGTTTTGACCCTGGCAACAACAATGCGTCAGAGAGGTGTGTGGAACGATATGAAATCTTGATCCCTTTTGAACCTGGGTACAAGGAGTTTACAAACACCAAAGACAAGGTTGGTGCGATGGTGAGGAGGAAGGTTGCTGGGAAAATGAATTTGTGATGAAATGCAATTCATGTCATACGTGCAGGAGGGTCTGTTAAGACTGTTAAAGGGTCTAACTAGAAGGACAGGGGTGATGATCCAGGACACTCAACAAAACACCACTAAATATGAATACACCAAATACTCACATATGAAACTCCTCAATATTAACTTTTGGACGATGTCTTTCCCCACATGATTCCTTTTACAGTATGACTAAAATATTTCCCTCAAATCAAAGTGACCTTGCATTAACATTTCCACATCTGGATTTGGGCCATTCCCATGGGTCAATTCTCTAAATTAAAACCAGGTCTGTTTGCCACCTGGTCCCATCCACAGCAAACCTCTGGGAAAAAGTGACTCAGAGGAAATGTGGAGGAGCATTCATATTAGTCTTCGAGGGAGTTCCCTTAGAGCACAGGGCAGCAAAGGGATCAATATACACCGATACAAGATGCCGCAGCGTCGCTTCTACAAAGTCGTCGTAGTCAGGTTTCCCCTCATCAGAGGAACTGGCCTGGACCCCTGGGAATCACTCGGCTGCTGCTTTACTAGAAGCACCATAAACCACAGGCAGAAGAGAGCTTCAAAGGCCATGGAGAAAGAGACACTTATAAGCACACAACCCAAAACAAGCACACTAATCCTCCGCTGCTCCTGTACGTCCCAACCAAAAAATATTATATCCCAATTGAACCAGAATTAATTGTTGCCAGTAATATATATTTGTATGTAACAATGAATTAATTTATACAATTTATTGTATTCCTTTATTTTATAATTTGTATTTTTAAAAGCCCATTTGCCTCTCAAGCATTTTTTAAGTTAAATTGTTCAATTAATAACACTATACCATTAAACCTGTTTAGAGTCAAAAATTGTTCAACTCCAAGCTCTGTCTGAAGAGCTATCTTTATGATACTAATCTTTAGGACACTAATTGGGGATTGGTAAAATGTGGATATCCAAATACTAAAGGGTACACAATATGCACAATAAGGAAATTCATACGTTGAACTATTTAATATGCTTATTTCAAGGTTAAGAATTAGTTCTGGAAAATATGACTACGTGCCTCATTAACAAACATAGGATATTGGATTCCCCACAGAGAACATACAAGTGTGGGAAAGTCTCACATAGATTAAATACACGGTGGACACTGTGTCAGTGACAGGCGCAGCAGGAGCTGTGCCCTCAGACCTCCACACACACTGATGTTAGACATTCCTCCGCTGCAGCTTCCCACTTCATTCCCATATTTTAATTGCAACTAAATATGATGTGTTTTAAACTTAACTTAAAAAAGGCTGAAAAGTATCTGTAGCTGCTGTGGCTACTGGCTAATGACCAATACTGCAGATTAAAAAAAACAGTTATTTTTACAAAATGACCAATCAAATATTTGTTCCATTAGTAATGAATGCTGCAATAAACAAACCATATTTTTATCGTTTTTTATTATATTATATTTATATTGATTATCGGTAGTTGTTCTTTTTTTCTTTTAAATACCATTGACAAAAACGAAAGATACATTGAGTCAATTTAGTCATAGAGCACCCACTATATGTTTTTGTCAGTGCTTTGTTCAAAAAAAACATTGACCCGATAATTATATTAGTTGAGAACTATTGAGATAATTTTACATCAGAAAAACTAAAGAATCATTCTATATCATATCAACCAGAGGCCTCCAGCTCAACCAAAGCTGAATTAGATGAAAATTGGGTGATCCACATAAAAAATCTGCAACAATCCCTCCATTCACAGACCAACAGCAGCAGGAGAAAATCAAATGTGGCCCAGAGCTATTCTCAAAGTGGGCAAACCCAAAATGCGAAGCGTCGTCTGTCCACTTAAACAATCCACAAATCTATATTCAGACTTCCCTTTTTAGAAGAGCAGACTCACAGGAGCATGGACACATTCCTTCAAACCCAAATTAGTTTGTTGTGGCAAATATAGAAAGAAACAGCACCAGGCCAGGTGGAGCGAACTGCATCAGGTTCATAGAGTCATGAAGAGGTCAAGGCCCAATGAACCAAAAAAAGCAACAAAGACATTGATCCGTGTGTCGCAAAAGTATTAAACAAAACTGTTTTTTCAAATAAGCTCTGGTCAGCTACTACTCAGTCTATCTATTCTACAGCAACAAAGACAGATCATCCAAAAATAAATCATTGTCGAAATGTCATGTTAATATATTACCAGCCAGCTTATGTACACTACAATACTGGTAACAAATATGGTAATAAAATCAACCTAAAATCAGTCAAAAAAATTTAAATCTGGAAACATATGTTGTTTTATAAATACATTGTGTTTCTCTCAACAGAAAAAAGTCTTGTTAGAGTAACATTTTGTGAAGTCAGACCACAACATTGAGTCAACTCAGTATTTATATTTCAAATGAGTGTAGGCAGTCTGCTCTTTTTCACATCCGTCTGAAAAAGCTAATCGAAAGATTTGGTAGAGGTCAAAATTATCTACATGTGAAAACTAGTGATAAAAACCGAACAGTATTGAGACCTAGGAACTAATAACATGGATATTCTTACATAGTTATCTTTTGTGATTTCAAAACTAGGTATTCCTGGATTAAAGAATAAGGCAGATGTAAACAGGTCAAATATGATTAAAGTATACTTTCAGAGAAGATGATTAAGCTGATGTCGTAACAGATTTAAAGTTTGCAGATCATAAACTGGAGCCTAGTCATGAATGGCCAAAGTCTCCATTTAGTGAAGAATAGTGAGTTGCCACATACTAGGCTACACCTCACCTTGCTCAACCATTTTATTACTGGCACATTTGGCCTCTCTGGTGGTATATTCACTCTTATAATAACATAATAAACAATCAGAGGTTCTACCTTGCAACATGTACTGGAAATGTCCTATGATCCCATATTGTGAGAGAGCTACATGGGAAGGCCTATTGACTTCAAAGCAAGAATGAATCGCCTCGGGGCAAAAGTTTGTAGAGGTAACGCAAAAAATAAAAAATAAAATACCTGCGTCAAAATGTCAGCCATCCTCCCTGCCCTCTGGTGACGGATTTCACACAGGATTGTAAATGAATAAAGTCCTGATTGTAGCATGGAGAAAGTGAGATTTAGCTTGGCAAATGTAACAGTGGGTCAATGAAGAAGTGGCGAATCGAGCTAACCCAAGCCCACCTAGTCTACTACGATGTATTTACGCAACAAATTAAAAGCAAAGTCAGCAAACCAGTGCGGCAAAAGTACACGATGTTGCTTTTGATTAGATTGATATCAAAGCAAAGGGTGTTCACACTGATTATTGCACTATTTTCAACCTCGAAATACCGCTGTTGCGACTCCTCCACCTCCTGCTCTATGCATCCGCTTCACACAAATAGCGGAGAAAAGATTAGAACTTGGTGAAAATCTCGGATACTCACCCAAATCGTCCATGTCTGAAGCCTGGCGGACGCTTCAGTGAGTTTGTTGAGCGCTTGCCCCGTGAAGAAGTCTGATTTGGGCTGTCCAAACTTCTGCTGCGGCTTCAACTTGGAGAGGCAGACGTGAACGCGCAGGGATATGTGCATGTGTATTTTACGGGAGCGCGCACGGAGAGAGAAGCCGCGAGCGCCATCTAGGGTCACAGCTGTAGTCTTCAAACCATCAGTACATTTAATGTCAAGTGAGGCATCCGAATAAGGTGGGATGTGGAGCAACGCACGTTTTATTTAGGTTTTGTTGCAGAATGTAGAATGATAAGGGTGTTTTCTAGTTCCTCGTCTTCCTCTCGTTCCTCTTCATCCTCTGCACTGCAGACTTCAGACACAACACGGTTGTGTCCTACAGAAGTTCTGTGACGACTCTGCCATCATCGGACCCATCACTGAGGATGACGACGCAGAGTCCAGAGGACAATCCCAGGACTTTGTGGGCTGGTCAGCCACCTCTTCATCAACGCGGAGAAGGCGGTGGTGGTGGATTTCCGCAGACGTCACGCTGCTGCTCCAGCGCCAGTAAACATCCAGAGTGGTCTCTTACAAGTACCTGGGTGTACAACTGAACCACAAACTGGACTGGACTCATAATACAGACGCCCTCTTCATGAAGGGCCAGATCCGTCTTTTGGAGTGCAGGGCCATGCTGCTAACATGTAGATTCATCATCACTGAGTATTTAATTGGAACCCATAAAGCTACGGACGTATACTCTAATATTCTTGCACTATAGTGTATTACAGATTTATCTACAGATGTATCATTTAAGTTTATATTTGTTGCTCAAGAGTATAATGTATTTGATACTTTATATAACTAAGATAGATTGTATTGAAGTATAGAATTGTGCTTTCCTTAATATTCACTTGTCTTGTGTGCTCCTCATTCCTACTGTTCAATAACTTGTGATGCAACAGACATTTTTCAACTGTGGGACGAATAAAGGATCTCAGATGACCCTTGGTAAGGTGTTGTGACTTTCGTCAAAGTGTAACATTTCAATACATTACAAGCTGCTGCTGTGAAGTGCAAAACCGTCATTAAATCCTCAATTTAGTTTAGATAGTACAATAAATGTTCCTTGTATTTGCGTTTCCAAGAACTAGTATTATTTTGAATGGTCAAAATGAATTTACTTAAAACATACATAAAAAACAGGGGTTTATTGAAGACAAATTGAGTCAACATAAATAATTCACATGCAACTTCAACATTTTACTGACACCAGAAATGTGGCTTGAATTGGCTTTTATAGTAAAAAAAAAAAAGCATCATCATTGAAATAAAAGCTGTACATACAATCATTCTAATAAACATAAAAATCATGCTTTGTCAAAATTCTGGTGCTCTGAGTTTCTTCTCCTCCTTCTCAGTGAGTGGCTCCTGGGAGAGCAGTTTCCCATGCAGACGGTGGTGTTTGCCGATCCCCAGTTTGGGCAGTCCTCGGTTCAGCCCCTCCAGCAGCACACAGGCCTTACACAGAGCCTGGCTGGAGATGTACCCACAGCGGCTGCATGTTCCCTGCACTGGCATCTTCACCCCGTCCCGCACAGACAGGTTCTCACCAGAGTGAATCACGTCCATGATGGAGCTAGGGCGGATACTCTCCAGATCCTTTAAGAAAGTCCTTGCATGACCGCGGTAAGCATTAGGTGAATAAATGCATTCAGTGGAAAAGTAATCCAACTTCTTAAAGTAAGCATAAAGTACTATCTCTTTCTCATAGGCGTATTTGAGAGGTTTGCAGCGTGGGACAACTCCGTCACCCTCGCTGGAGGTAGAGATGGCTGTGCAGCGGCGTAGACGAGCTATGTCTCCTCGTAAAATGTTCATCAAGACGGTTTCCGCCACATCATCAGCATTGTGACCTGCAACACGACCACATCACTCATGAAACATACTTTTTATGAATCAACATTGTAGCGTTTCAGTATCTTCTAATCACGCAGCAAAACATCATCTTAACCATGTTTTAATTGTTTTTCCCTTGTCATTTACACTCAATATCAGTTTCAAAATGATGTGTGTATGAAATTATATTCTTGTTTGTGAGTATTGCGATGCCAAAGCAAATTTCTGTTACTTACAATGACAATACAAATTCTGATGCATTCTCCTCCATCTGAATCTTTTGATACCTTGTGTTTCTCTTATTCTGTGACTCAGAATTGGGAGGCATGCTAATAATTAAACACGTATTAAGTCATAAGACATCTTTACTGCAATTCAAAATCTTTGATATTTTAATAAGGATCTATGAGCCACCATAGGGAGAGAAACATGAGGAGAACATGCAAACTCCTCTCCCCTGTGCTGCCTGGGATAAAAACCCTTCTTGTTTCAACCATCTCTTACAAGTTTATATAAAATTGTACTGGATTTTCAGTTGACATGCTTACCTGTGCATATTTTGTCCACTTTCAACATGATGGCTCCTCGGTCTAAGGCCTGCCTTCTGAAGACACCACAGAAAGTGCAGTTATTTTTCATTCCCACTTGCTTCACTATGGCATCCATCGTCCAGCCGTACAACTCCTCATAGGAAACAATCTTTAGAGGCAGCTCATACTGTTCTTGGTTCCTTTTCACTGTCTCCAATGAGTCGTCACGGTAACCTGTGATGCCTTCATCCACTGAGAGCAGCATGAGGTCGAGGCCATAGCTGTATCTCTCATTGAGGACTTTCATAACGTGAGCGAGCACCGTTGAGTCCTTTCCACCTGACGCAGCAATGGCAACTCTCTCCTCAGGTTTAAATAGTTCTGCGGTGACAATGGTCCGGTGCACCTCCTCCTCGAACGCAATGAAAAAGCATTCTTTGCAAAGAGAGTGGCCCGTCTTGGGACGCTTTAGCACAGCACGATTTTTGGCACAGCTGCTGCACTGGACAGGCATTTTGTCTGAAAAGAAAAAAAAAGGTATTTAGGTAAAACTATTACTTGCTGAACCTCTGTGTACAACTGGAATGCATGAATAATGTAGAGTCAAAAAAGTGCAATGAAAAGTGGCTTTCAACCTGACAAAACAGTCTCATTATTGTCATTACCACTGGGGGAAGATTGACAATTTGTATTCAAGTGAAACACACTTCAGTAAAAGGTACGTGACAAATATTACGAGTGAGTAAGCTACGCTCGCTAGACAATAATTTGACCTACATTTCATTTTCTATAGCTGTTACATTCTACCCCCGGTCAAAATAAAAAAGTAAACTTTACAATACGACGAAATCCTTTAGAATCTAAACGTAAAAAAATGCAGTAGTTTGTGAGGGAGTGCTCACATAAGCTGTTACAACATACAGTGGAAAGCTGTTTTCTACGCACGAATTATCAGACAATGCTTCTTACCCAGCTCCAGATGATCCCGGCAGAGAATCCAACAGTGATTTTAGCTTAAAACTAAAACATCGGATCACTTTTTATTGAAAGAAAAAAAACACTACACGTTCAGAAGTTTCATCATGTACTGCTGCTCTGTGAGAGAAACCGGAAGTAAATAAAAGAGTGAAGACGGCAGCGCACTCTATCGACTGGAGTCTGACATAACAACAATCATTATTATTATTTTCACGAAATCCGGGTCCATTCCTAAAGTTACATTATTGACTTTTCAATAATATCTCAACCTTTATTTTGTTTTATTTTATTTGTGTTTTATTACGTTTTTAGTCTAATCTAGTCAAAGTGTGTGCGTGCGTGGGTGCTTGTGTGTATGTGTGTGCGTCAAATTTGTTGCCATTAACCTTTGTCTATAATAACATTTGAGAAAAATCACAAAATAAAACAATGTAATGAAGGAAGATTTATTAGCAAGGATGCAGTTGGTATTTTAAAAGCTGTTTGGTGCAGATGGGGCAGGGGTAGGTCGTTAAAGATGTTGTCTGGAGAGGCCAGGCTTGAGATGAACCATGTGTTTAATTGACTGGATGAAAGGCACCCCTCTGATGCCACTGCATATCCCGGACGCGGCGGACTGACTGGATCTGAGGGATCTGGGCTCCAAACTCAGTGCTGTCCTTGTACTCGCCCTTCTCAAACAGGTACTGGTATCCTCTGTATCCTGGGTACTGATAACCCACCCAGCTGTGAGGAGGGGACAGAACAGGACACAGGTAAAGACTGTACACTCAAATTTGTTATGTATGATCGAGAAATAGAATTTGTTATTTAGTAGCTAATTAGATTCCAAAATGGTTGGAGGAAAAATATAATAATAATATAATTCAATACATTGTTCTAATTTCTTGCCTACCTATACCTATATGATCATTATCTGTTTACACAAATGTAATATAAACAATTAATGAAAACAAAATGCATGTGATTTTATGTTTGACTACGCTACATCTCACTATTACAGTAAATAAATTATTCTCACGTTCCACTCTGCACACGCACAGAAGAGACCTTCTCCTGATATCCGTGAGCGTGGAAGCTGGGCACGTCGTCATCTATGATCTCTATCTTCTTTCCTGCAAAGCTGGGGTTTTCATAAAGCACAATCTTGTGCTCCTGGCTGTCCTGAAACCAAAAATACCAGGTTATACAGTTCACCAAAGAATCAAGGTCTGAGAATCTAAAGGATCTATGGGAAACTAAAAGGGCCTAAAGGGGATTTTGACATCCTTCAATGGCAGAAGGAGCATTATGTAAAGCATCAATGAAGTGTAGTATTCACATTCATTTTAGAAATTTGATACATTTGTGTTTAGGTGGTTTGTGAATATTGTCATAAGTTGGAGGAAAAAAGATTCTTACAACTTTAATTGGCCGAAATGCAGTGATGGTGTCACTGCGGCGGCTGTTGGTCCAGGAATCCCACCGAGGATACTCGCCCTTCTCAAACACATACTGCTCTCCCTTACAGCCTGTCTGCTCATATCCCACCCACCTGTAGAGAGAGAGAGGGGTGGTAAACTCCTACAGGAGAAGTCACAATTCTATATAAGCATTTTTCATCACCTTGTGCAAGGTTTTAAAAGCGTAAATGTGTGACATACATACACTGGACTGGATAGTAACTGACACCAAATATGGCAAAGCTCGAGTGAAGTACTTTTTCAGAATAGAACTACTTATAAAACTAAAAAAAATTAAGGGGGGTTAATTGTTTGAAATTCAGTGAAAAAGACAGAAGCCTAAATTTATACAGTTAGCCAGGAGTGAATGCATCTAAACAAATATAGTGAAGTTAGTGATCACTGAATCCAAAATTAGTTTTTTCTATTCTCTGTTCTCATACAAGTTGGTTTGCCTTTGAGGCTGACTTACGGTCCACACAGCACCAGTATAGAGCCCACTTTCTCCACGCCTGCCTCCTGGAGGTTATTACAGGGACCAGTCAGCTCATGGCAGCGTCCCTGGAAGTTCTCTTGCTCATAGATAACCAGCTGTAGACCAGAACAGTTAAATGGTTCAGTCCTGTTGAGTGGAGAACTATAAGCTATCAACTTTGAAAGGATAATGAAACCATCCACTTTTGGTAAATGGCCTGTGAATCCCTCACCTTAAATGCACTGGTGCCTGGCTGCTGCTGCTTGGATGCAGGGTTCTGGTGGTCTGTGGCCATAGTGAAGGATGCACCTGACATGAATAGAAAGTGTTAAACAATAATGTTATAAAATAGCAATTGATAACTTAAAACCACATTTTAAAGTTTAAAATTTGACTCATTTATATAATTTAGAAAAAATGATAATTTTGAATGCAACATGTTGTTGAAAAAAATTCAGAGTGACAACCACGCAGCTCTTACCAGTACCTGTCTGTGCCAGTATGTTTGTGATGGCACCACCAGCTCCATATATACAGCCCACCGGGGGGCACTGTGCCAACAGCACCCACAGTGTCCTGGGGAGCGGGTCGCGCTGCCATAGGCCGAGGACACAGAACTGCGGGTTCACCCTGCTGCCTGCCCCACCCCGGGGTGTCACTCCCACAAAGTTATTTCATTAGTTGTCAGTTTCTGTGCAGCCAGTCATTGTTCGATATCCACATGATTCAGCACAAACAGTGCCAAGAGTCCCACCGCCACAATGAACCACAGAGAGAGAGAGAAAGTACAGTAGATCAGCTTTAGAAGTCTGGACTCGACTCAAAAACAAATACTTGTTGTTTCTGTTGGACATCTTTTTAATAATTTTAACATAAATATAAAAATATACATATAGTATTAATGCATTCGCAAAAAATCAGTATCAGTATTCTACAGTGGGGAATATATTCATGCAACACAAATGCCACATTGAACCCACACATTAAGACAATATAATATATATTTTAAACTATTGTCAGGAATGAACCAGACAGAGATGGATCGTGGTGCGCCAAACTCTGGAAGTTTATTTAGGTTTCTCTCAAGTTCCAGTGGTTTCTGATGTTTCTTTCTCTCAGACAGAATGGAGTCAGTACATGTTATATAGTCATTGTTACGTCACACATCGAAACACATATGTGTCACACAGAGACAGTGCATATCATAGTCAAAACATGGATGCACAAACCGAGTCTTTGTATAGTCTTGCACGTAGGCCAAATAGCTATCTAATCCTCACACTATCTCAATGCTCATTTTCTGCATTTTTCTTCCCCAATATCTTCTCATACAGTCCTGGCAGTCATTTATTTTCTTCAATATTTTGAAACTCAGTTAGGCAAATGTTCATTCCAATGTTTAAAGTTTACTCAAGTACTGCACTGTCAATGTCAGCAGGCCACCAACCCTCATGCCCCTTCTATGCATTTTATTTCATTGTGTTAGAGAAAAGCAGGGTAGTTCCATAAAACCTCAATGTATAAGTGACATTTTGACATTTCTAATAAGAATTTGCTTCCATTTCTGGAGTCTTAATAATATATAAACATAATGTTATAATGGATAAAGTAATGACAGAAATGCAAAAGAGCTGAGTTCTGTTCTTGAATCCTTTGGTCTCACTCAGCACGTGAGTGGCCCCACCCACAGCAGAGGGCACACTCTTGACCTGTTAGTTACTAAGGGGATGAACATTTCAAATGTAAACGTGGTCAATGTTGGTCTTTCATGTCATTTCTGTGTAATTTTTTACATGTGTTTCACTAACATACCACCAGTGGACTCTGCAACTGTTCGAAGAAGACACATAAATGAGAATACGGGTGAACTATTCTTTGAGAATGCATCGTGTTCGACTGTTGATGAACTGTTTAACTCTATCACCTCTAATGTTTTGAATGTTCTGGATACCGTTGCCCCTGTGAAGGTTAAAATAGTGAAAAATAAGCAGAAGGCGCCGTGGGCTAAAGCAGACTCGGTCAGGGCACAGAAGAGAGAGTGCCGGAGGGCCGAGCGGAAGTGGCGCAAGTCCAACCTCCAGGTTGATTACGAGATCTTCAAAGATAAGTTGTGCGAGTTTAACCGGGTCCTACGTAGTACGAGAGAAAGGTATTTTTCTGAAATGATTGAAGGCTGCAGTAACAATCTGCGTGTTCTGTTTTCAACAGTTAATAGATTAACAAACCCCCCTGTTCAAATGCCATTAGAGCTTACTTCTAAACGTAAATGTAATGAGTTTGCACATTTTTTCAATGACAAGGTTCAAGGCATCAAAAACGCCGTTGTCTCCAATCCACAGATAACCATCCAACAGCCAGAAAGGCTCTCTGAGCTAACTCACTTTGCACCTGTAAATGATCAAACTGTCCAAGAGATAATCACAAGTCTGAGCTCCTCCACATGCAGCCTGGATGTACTACCCACTAGATTTCTGAAGTCTGTTCTGAGCAGTCTGTTACCTTCACTTACACAGATAGTAAACATGTCCCTTCATTCTGGAATTTTCCCAAAGGCCCTGAAAACTGCAGTCATCAGACCCCTTCTAAAAAAGAGCAGTCTGGACGCCTCGGTACTTAACAACTATCGTCCCATCTCAAATCCTCCATTTATGGGGAAAGTCCTTGAAAAAGTTGTCTACCAACAGCTAAATAGATGTCTTATAATCAACAACTCATTTGATATGTTTCAGTCCGGCTTTAGACCCCACCACAGCACTGGGACTGCTCTCGTCAAGGTTACAAACGATATCCGGCTGAACACTGACGCAAGCAAAATCTCAATCCTAATCCTGTTAGATCTGAGTCGACCATGAGATCCTCTTACAGAGACTAGAGGACTGGGTTGGCGTCGCTGGCACCGCCCTAAGTTAGTTTAGGTCTTACCTTGAGGACAGGAAGTACTTTGTGGAGATTAGAAACTGTGTCTCAGATCATATGGACCTGACCTGTGGAGTACCACAGGGATCGATCCTGGGACCTCTTCTGTTCAATCTCTACATGCTGCCGTTAGGTCAGTTAATACGCAGAAACAATGTTTTGAATCCTATCACAACATCAGCAGCTTTTTACCACCTAAAAAACATTGCCAGGTTAAAAAACATAGTGGCTAAAGCAGACTTGTAGATTCTTATCCATGCATTTGTCTCCAGTAGGTTAGACTACTTTAATGGCCAGGCCTGCTCACAGGCAGTACATTCAAAATGCTGCAGCTCGAGTCCTGACTAGAACCAGGAAGTACGACCATATTAGTCCAGTCCTCAGGTCTCTGCACTGGCTTCCTGTGGCTCAGAGAATAGACTTTAAAACAGCTCTGCTTGTGTACAAATCTCTCCATGGCCTCGCACCAAAATATATTAGTGACATGTTAGTCCCATATGAACCAGCCCGGACTCTGAGGAGCACAGGGACTGGACTCCTGTTAGTGCCCAGAGTCAGGACTAAACATGGGGAGGCTGCCTTTCAGATCCATGCTGCTAAAACCTGGAACAATCTTCCTGAAGATGTGAGACAGGCCTCGTCTCTGACAATGTTTAAAACCAGGGATTTTATATTTTTATCTTTCTTTTTAATGTACTGTGATTATTTATGATTATAAATAATCGCTATTTTGTCTTGTTCAGCACTTTGAGTTGCCTTGTGTATGAATTGTGCTATACAAATAAACTTGCCTTGCCTAATATTTATTTGCTTCCAGGAGTTCCATAGATAGATACTTTATTGATCCTCGTAGGAGAAATTCAGGTGTTCAGCAGCAAAAACGCATACAAACAAAGAAAATAAATACATAATTCTAAAAGTTACTAACAATAGCTTGTGTAACAGCACTTTAAGTCACAGAAGCCAAGGTTGTGGAGCCGCTGGGTGGAGCAGGACTGGTTACAGCATCAAAGGTGGTGTAACGCTGGGTGGAGCGGGATGGTTACAGCATCAGAGGTGGTGGAGCCATTGGCGATACAATATACAGTATGGTTGATGTATACAGAGTCTGCTTGGTTCAGTAAGTTTTCTCTGCTCTGGTCCAGAGTGAAATGCTAAATGCTATATTCTAATAAAAAAAAAAAAAATTGCATTCCCCCATTGGATTTACGCTTGATCTGCTTGGTTCGAACCGTGAGACCTCTCTGCTCTGGTCTGGGTCAGTGTAAAACCAATTTATAGCTAGAAAAAAGTAATAAAAAAACGCTCGTAAAGCACAAAACAACAACTGTTTTCATACTGCAGAATAAAAGGAGGAAATAATAGCACTCAGGTTAGACAAACCTCAAACAGATAGAAAGACAATAAAATAAAATAATAAGATAATAAAATATAACTTAATTGCAGTAATTGCATTTGGTTAAATTTAGAAGTAATGCTGTAGTTCGCAACATCATAATGTATTTGCAGATTTGCACCGGAATAAACAACAGTAATAATAGCAGCAGGTAAAGTGACTAGTAAATTATCAGAACAGAATCATCAGATGTATGATGTATGTAATGGTGTAGTAATAATATGATGTAGCAGGTGAATGGCACGTGTACAGTCTCAGCTGTTCTCATTGTACAGTCTGACAGCAGCAAGAAGAAAGGACTTGCAGAGCCTCTCCTTCACACATCAAGGGTGAAAAAGTCTGTCAGTGAAATCGCTCTCCAGAGCTGAGAGAGTGTCCTGGACGGGTAGACAGTCAAGGCAAAACCTTCAGATTGTGCCTTTTGATCTAATCCATCATAAAAGTGTGTTTGGGATCATTAACTATATGCAGAAGCTCTCTTCTTTTTACCAACAGCTTCCTCACATAATATGGTGATGCCTTCCAGATGTGTTTAGATTTTAATGGAATCCATATCTTTCCTCCACCTGATCATGTTCTCTGCCACTGGCTGCAACACAAGCTCAAAGCATGATGTATGAAACCCCATGAAAACATTTAGAAGTTTCCTTGTCATTCTCCTGCATTTGCGAACATACATTATTTTCAGTTTCAGGGTCCACGGGTTCTGATTGTTGGAACAGTGGGACAAGATGTCTATTTAAAGAGCTTTGAACTATGCATCATCTTGTCTCTCTTCACAAGGATATATATCACTATCATCTCAAAAATGTCTCAAATTGCCATTCACCTTTTTTAATACATCTATCTATCTATAACGCAGAGAGCATCTGTCTGTTGAAGGCCTTTTCCATTGATAAACACGCCCTCCATGACCATACTTCCATCTGATTTATCAAAGGTGTGTTTTTGAAATGGAATTGTATAAAAAGCCAAAAAAAGCAAAACCTTTTTCCATCATTGAGGGCTACTTTATTTGGGTTAATAGCTCTAGAGGCATTTTCCAACATTTGTCAATTTACAAGTATAACATCACCAACAAACAAGGTCGGACAGCTTTTATTCAAACAGAGCACTCCTCGCGGGGCATAAGCAGCATTTGTCTTGTGTTAGAACAGGAGCACAGGGCATCTCTCATGGGCCTCCAGAGGGGACAGGCCATGGTTTAGGGGTGTCCCGCTTTGGTAGCGGGAGCAGGGGGAGGGACCGGGGCGGGCTCAGGATCTGGGACCGGCGGAGCAGGGGAGGGGTCCGGGGGTAGGAAGCAGCCTCTCTTGTGCCACTGCATGTCTCGCACTCGACGCACTGACTGGATCTGAGGGGTGGGGGAATCCCAGTCGTTCCAATGCTTGAAGTCTCCTCGTTCAAACACAAACTGGCGCCCCCTATAGCCAGGATACTGATAGCCAACCCATCTGAAAGAAGTTAGATATTAGAATTTAGCAACCAAAGATAATGTCAGTACAACCCTTGATTCATTTGTTGTTGCTTTATATACTTATCCTGTTGGGAAATTCAGACAGCTTTAAGTATGAATATAATAATTTTGCATTTAAATGTAACCGTTGATGTCACTTTGGTTCATTTTCTTTGTCATTCAACTTGTGTGCTTTTTGACAGACAACTTTCTGCAACATGTTCTCTTTCTGTGTGGTTTTTCAAACTGCTAACAGAGTTGTCTTTCAAAAAGAAATCAAAAAGAAATTGACCTTCTGTAATAAATTATTACATAGTTTTTTGTATTCTAAGTTAGTGGATCAGGCCACTATACTAACAAGTGGTAGGTGTGTTATAGTAGTTTATTCGGTCACTATGAATATTTAGATCTTTGGTCTATATGTTTGTGAAAGATTTGATACATTATACAATAGGAAAAAAACGTATGTATGCAACTTCTTATACTAATAGGAATTGTCATGCTAGATGATGCAGAATAAAGTGGACATTGATTAAAGCTGGGGTACCTAACTTTAAAACCACAAAAAATGCTGAAATCCATGGAACTATTTCCCTGCTCTGAAACACTTTGGTTCCATCACTGGTGATCACACACATGTTTTATGGCCTCTCTCACATCTTTAGATCAGATTTTTTCGGACAGAAAAAGAGAGGACCCACTCAGCCCAGTGCTTCAATTAGTGACTCAAAGGGTTTTTTCTTACATACATGCAAAATGCTGACAAAATCATGACAGCCTGTTGTGGTCTGATTTGTTGTTTAGACTCTTTCTGTTACTTTGAAATCAATGGGTCACTGTCAAAAAGACAGAGGTTGTCTTCATATCATGTGTAATTTATTAGCTGGAATGTTGTTTTTCACCTCATTGTTAACAAATCAATTATTTAAAAAAATATGACATGTTTAATTTAGTAAAACCATCTTGGAGTAATTTACTTCTGATGAATAGCATGTATTTAAAGTCTGATTACTCATAATTACTTAAAGATGTCTTACGTTCCATTGAGGGCCTTCACACTTGCTACTCGATCCTTGAATCCAAGCCCCCACAGACTCGGCACGTCATCGTCAATCACCTCAATCTTCTGTCCAGAAAATCCAGGGTTTTCAAACAGGTGCAGCTTGTGCTCGGCGCTGTCCTGTAAGAGAAGAGGTCTGTGTAAATCCTCCCATGATATCCACATTTGGACATGTGTAGCAACAGTGACCCACCACTTTGAGAGGTCTGAGAGAAAGCAGATAGTGGCTGTTCTGACTGTTGGTCCATGTGTCCCAGCGTGGATATTCTCCCTTTTCCAAAATGAACTGCTCCCCTTTGAAGCCATGACGATCATAGGCGACCCAGCTGCAGGCACAGACACATCATTTGGCCATTTTGTCTACTACTTTGTCTCCGCTGTATGATGAACTATTTCACTCACGGGCCTGACTCCACAATCACTGAGGCAACCTTTTTCAGATCCTTCTCATTCACATCTTTACACTCAGATGAAAACTCTGCCTTTTTTCCCTGGAAGTTTTCAAACTCAAACAGCACCACCTGAGCCACAAAGACAAAATGAGATCAAAGTAAATATTATGGAATTAGTGTGAATGCTCTTGCCCATACTAAAATGCATATGACAGTAATTTATGATTTTCAATTTTAATGGTGGAAGTTAGATTGTTTTGTACTTTTTGAGAAGATTTTTTTTTTTTTTTTTTTAAATCATAGGAACTAGAGATATACCCTTTTCTCATTTACCAAAATTGTAAATTGACTGTGTTTTGCGAAAAATTAAGTTCAACCTGTCATAACCACTTTAAGTTTATTTGGGCTGCTATATTAAAGCTGGGATACCTAACTTGCAATCACAAAAAATGGAAAAATCTGATGAAATCCATATAACTAGCCCCTCTCTCTCTCTCTCTCTGTCACATCTGTAGATCAGCTTTTTCAGACAGAAACGTGAAGAAGAGAGGAATCCCCTCACTCAAATAGTGATAGACAGGGCTCTTTCTTAAATATAGTTGTAAAAGATTAAATATTTTCTAATAAGATAAAGACAGCATGGTGTGGTCAGAGGTTACACTTTTACAAGGCTATGTTGGAACAAAAAGTATACTGGGGGGAAAAGTTAGGTACCGCAGCTTTAAACAAACAAATCAAAATCCCATTTTGAAAAGTTGCAAATGTACAAATTATTATTATACACTGCAAAGATGTGTTATTATAAATGCTTGAATTAGATGTAGTTACCTTGACGCAATCATATTTTGACTGTAGTAAAGTAATATTTGTTAGTGGTTTAGTCTGAAGTAGGATTCTTTTCTTAATTTCAAAGGCAAAGTTGTCCTATTTTAGCCAAAAACCTTTAACACTTATTTCCTTGGCGAATGTTGCACAACAGACAAAAACAATAAAACAATACTTTTAAAGATATTCTGTCTGTTGTTCTGAATGCTCTGAAATGATGCAGTCTATTATTCTCTTTAGTTCATGTTCCAGTTTTTCTGTAATGTGTTATAAGTATGTAATAGGCTTCTGGAATCATTTGCAATGTGCACACTGAAGGAAATGTCAATCTTTGAAACATGAAATCGTGATTGAATATTTTGCCAAGATTGTGCAGCTCTAAAACTGAGCTGGAAGTGTCTTTATGGTATGACCTTAAAGGACGGCCCGGCTCCTCCCTGGCTCTTCCCTGCAGCCAGCTGTTCTGGGGCATTCTGCTGCTCCATCATCCTCCAGATCCTCTGCTCCTCCACTGGATCCAAAACAATGACTTAAATGCAAAGTAAAGCGTAAACCAGAGGAAAGAACATGAGTGTTTTATATATGAAACAATTTTACGTTTGTTATGGGTAGCAAAAAGACCCCTGTTGAGAAATTTCACAAGTTGCATTATGAGTAGGATTTTGCATGTTTGACTTGTTGAGACCCAGTGTCAGTATGAGTATGGTGCCTAAACTTTTGATCACAGATGTGTCTACAGAGCTCCAGGATATTTTAAATGTGGTAGTTTTACTGGTACTCTTACAGCCGCTGGGTCACAACAAGTCAAAATAGGGGGAAAAAAATCCACTTGTTTTATGGATGCCCCTTTAACTGTCAATTATTGTTTTTGGCAGTCTTCCCGAAATTCTTGACTGTCACTTTTGCGACGCAATACATACTGTAGCGGAGCATCAAAAAGACATATAAGAATTTTTGGTTCTTTTTTTTTTTTTTTTACAGATTATGCCAATGTTGCAGAATCAAATCTTGTGTTGGAGAAGCAGATATGTGTTGGCCAAAATAGATGTCTAACAAACAATAAAAAAAAACAAAAGATTTGACAGAATAGCAAAAAAAATCTCTTTGAGCAGTCTCTCAACCTTAGACTATTGAAAGATGCAACAGAATCAGAATAATTATAATAATAACAAACAGTCTCTGGAGATGATAGAGCAGTTGCAGGGTTGTCAAAAGTATCAAAAATCATACATTAGTTTGAATACATTTTAAAAATGTATGCTAATTTAAGCAAGCATAGAATGTATATAAGAAAGTTGGATGTCCGGTGCTATTCTAGGACCTGTGTAGAAAATAACTCATAGAAACGTTTTGTTCTACTTATTATGAGTTACAAAAAATCGTTTACTGTCAAAAAGGAGCATAATATATCATATCTGTGGTATCAAATGTGTTTTCTAGTATTGAGTTTGTATTGTGACTAAATAACTAAAGAAACAAAATCTCTCATTAGTCAAGGAGTAATTTTCAAAAGTAGTCTTGTCTCCATGTCTACTTTTAAATTAACTTTTACATTGTGATAGTTGAATCAAAATGACATAAGACTCAATACACTGTGGCTGTAAGTTTAACAATATAATGCTTTTACCTGTATTGTTCTGTTGTAGCTGTACTGTCCCTGTGCCACCTGGTGTCTGGATGGTGGGATCGCCCGCTGGAAGGCAGGGACCGGGGGCTATTTATGTTTTATTTCAGCCACAGCAGCAGAAACAAGGGGCAGTGTTGATGCAGCAGATCTTTGCCTGATATTGTGTCCATAATGTGCCTCTCAATAGGCAGATGTTGGCTCTGCCCGCTGCACTGGCACCTGCCCATGGGCACTGCGACAGAGAGCCAAGAGGAATCAGCAAACAGCAGCCCTCAGCAGTAACCGTAAACATATGCCCAAACCAACTGCACCCAAGTATACTTTGAAACGCAGCCAGCCTCAAAAACCATGGAATGAAAATAGCTCTTTATGATGGGACTGGTCTAATCTCTGACTCAAAAGAATAGTACTTTCCCATCAGATTGGTTCTGAACATTCAGCTGAGGAATTTACAGGACGCTGTAATTCAAAGCAACTGTGTGTGACTTTGGAGGTGGCTAAATATTAAGAACAATTTTTTTTAAAATCAAACTGTGCTTAAGTATTCAGTACAGTTTTATTTCCATAATGCATATTAACTTTACTATTTTTTTCAAACAATTGTTTACATTGTTGTTAATCTAAAATCAGTACATACATTTTAAAATGTGTTGGTCACGTTGAGGACCTTTGTTGAGGATCACAGCCGCATGAGTTTGTCCAATGTCCAAGTGAATTATAATGCTTTGTGATTAATCATGCTTATAAGTTTAGCACATAATAAAATCTCTTTTTGTTAGTCAAGAGGTCTTGAAACACCAAAAACACAAAATGATCAAATATATATATTGTGCATGTATTATTTATCAAAATAGCATGTTTCACTTAAATACATATAGAAGCTTGTACCTCTTTAATTTTTACTACTTTACTTTCTTAGTTAAAGCTTTGCTTTTTGTTGAGAGGCATCTTCTTCATCCAACCAACCGATTATTGATTTTCTTTTTTTGTGTTGAACATGGCGAATATGAATATGTTAAACTTTTGATTTGATCGGATGATTCTAAAAAAACAGACGTATATAATAATTTGCGACTCCTCCCATGACAAGAGTGCTGCAGCCTGTAGGTGCAAAAGAGGTCAGGTGTGTGTCAGCTCACACTAAGGAAAGACATTGGGCCTCATTCACGAACGGTTCTTAGGAACAGATTTGTACGTAAATCCTACTTACGCGGTTTTTACGAAGAAAGTGGCATTCACGAATATTTCTCGTAACCAGAATTTCTCTTGGGCAAGTACAAATCCTACGAGTCCTCAGGAGCACTCGTACGCATTCAGTGCCGACATGTTCACACGCCGGGGTTGTCCTCTTTGGTGAAGTTGAATAAAAATACAAAATTCCAGTGATATGTCCGTCATATCGATGTATGTATTTATTTATTTGTAGTAATCTTTATTAGTAATCTTTATTTATATACCGCCTTTTTCACTGAAGATCTGGCCTACTTTTTAATTCATTTTGAAATGAAATGTGCCAACACTTTATCAAATACATTGGAAATCTTGCCGTGTATTAGTGACCCCTTCCTATTTAGAAGGGGGCATTTCTTTATCCACGGGCCACAGAACAACGGCATATATACTGCTGCTCCAGGAGGTTACTGGGTCCGCGCTGAGTCTCTGCGCTGGTCTCTCCTATGGATCTATACGGGTCTGCGCTGGTCTCTCCCATGGATCTATACGGGTCTGCACTGATCTCTCCCATATACGGGTCTGTACTAGTCTCTCCCATGGATCTATACTGGTCTGCACTGGTCTCTCCATACGGGTCCGCGCTGGTCTCTCAAGTCTGGTCTATGCGGTCTATCTTCGGTCCGCGCTGGTCTCTGCGCACCGGTCTCTCCAGTCAGGTCACTCCAGTCTATGCGGTCTCTCCTATAGGTCCGCGCTGGTTTCTGTGTGCTGGTCACTCCAGTCTCTCCTCGGGTCTGCATTGGTCTCAGCGCTGGTCCGCGCTGGATCTCCTCCCAGGGTCCAAAATATTTTGAGATTAATCTCAAAACATTTTGAGATTCATCTTTAAAATAATACATAATATATTTTTAAATTAAGCTCATAACATTTTGAGATTAATCTCATCATATTCTTAGATTAATCTCATAATTTTGCTAGTTCGACTTTATTATCATAATATTTCGACTTTTAAGTCAACATTTTATAACTTTATTCTCAGTCTGGTAAAAGAAGAAAAAAGGGTGACTTTTGCTCCGTGTAAAGGCCTGTTGCTGTTTCCTCTGCCGTCTGCACACGGCCCTGCAGTCCCTTATATGGGCATTAGTGGGCGGTTACTTATGCTAAGTACCTATGCTAATGAAGCACCTGGCACGCGCGCTGTACTTAAGAGGAAATGGGATTCATCAATCTGAGAGAACAGCTGCGAACAATTCAGCGGCTTACGAGTGCGTTGATGAATCCCACGTGGGGACTTCTTAGAAATCTACTTAAAGCAGCAGTAAGCGATTTGGTCGTTTCCGGCAGTTTCTTCTGCCTGAGCGAGTTAGTAGCCCCGCCCCCGTCTCCTCGTCACACCACATGAACGCGCATCGTGTTGGTGATGGCAGCAGCAGATTCATCTCCGTCAGGTCTACCCTTAAGTATATTAACAACAAACTCTGGGAGTGAAATATTAGCATAGAATAGCTCAGTTGTAACCTAGCTATAACACTGGAAGCAGCTTGGTGTTAGCTAGGATAGCATCACTAAGAGATAAAAACAATCCAGTCTTTTATAGAATAATACTGCTTTTATAGTTGGTACACTGATAACTGTTGTGATAAACATAATGTTGCAGATTGCAGTGTGACGTGTCTCAACATTATGCACTGTAACATCTGTTACAGTGCATATGTATTAGATGAATGTAATGCATATACATTACAACAACAAAGCTTTACATGAAGGTTATTTAAAGTAATACATTACTGCTACTTATTTCCTCACAATTTGTATATTTGGAGTTCTTTATAGACAACACTGTAGTAATGTATTATGTGAAAGTAAAGCTGCATCTCACTGGAAGCTGCCTTCTCAATGTCACAAAATAAAGATACATTTATTGATGTAATCAACATCTGTATTATGTGCTTATTGTTCAGAGAATGAAGACAAATTCAAAGTGTACAAAGTGTATCAGAGCTGTACAGTGAGATGTGGGACTGAAAAACAATTCCAGTAAAGCTTGTCCGAAACGCAAAAGTACTGTCATAACTAATTACGTTACACTATTACACTGTAAGGAAACTCACCACTTTGAAAGAAAAGCTACAAGTAACAGAATATATAAAGTCATTTGTCATAACGGTTCTTTCAGGAAGCACTGAACGCCCTCTGTCCAGAGAAGCTGATGACCAGATCCTCCCAGACCTTTCCCTGGTGCGTCTGTGAAAGGTGCCAACAGACATTGAAAACGTGCTTTCCTCAGCGGCCCCCATGGTGCACGTCCTCAGTGGCCCCCATGGTGCACGTCCTCAGTGGCCCCCATGGTGCACGTCCACTCTGCAGTTCTGAAATATGTTTGTAGTTGTACTATTTCAAAATAAAAAAAAATACATTCACCTCTTTCAATGTGCTTTGTTTTATAGAAGGAAAACAAATACAGTCTGTAACGAGTCTAAGAAACTTTATTATGTAAAAGAAGATTTGAAGTTCTAGCCGGAAAAATATACACAATGGGCCTCATTCACGAATAACTTCGTAAGAAACTACTCAACTTTCTTCTCAAGTTGTCCTTAAGTAGATTTCTAAGAAGTCCCCACGTGGGATTCATCAACGCACTCGTAAGCCGCTGAATTGTTCGCAGCTGTTCTCTCAGATTGATGAATCCCATTTCCTCGTAAGTACAGCGCGCGTGCCAGGTGCTTCATTAGCATAGGTACTTAGCATAAGTAACCGCCCACTAATGCCCATATAAGGGACTGCAGGGCCGTGCAGACGCAGAGGAAACAGCAACAGGCCTAAAGCAACAGGCCACGGAGCAAAAGTCACCCTTTTTTCTTCTTCAGACTGAGAATAAAGTTATAAAATGTTGACTTAAAAGTCGAAATATTATGATAATAAAGTCGAAGTAGCAAAATTATGAGATTAATCTAAGAATATGATGAGATTAATCTCAAAATGTTATGAGCTTAATTTAAAAATATATTATGTATTATTTTAAAGATGAATCTCAAAATGTTTTGAGATTAATCTCAAAATATTTTGGACCCTGGGAGGAGATCCAGCGCGGACCAGCGCTGAGACCAATGCAGACCCGAGGAGAGACTGAAGTGACCAGCAAACAGAAACCAGCGCGGACCTAGGAGAGACCGCATAGACTGGAGTGACCTGACTGGAGAGACCGGTGCGCAGAGACCAGCGCGGACCGAAGAGAGACCGCATAGACCAGACTTGAGAGACCAGCGCGGACCCGTATGGATCCAGGAGCATGCAGCACGGACCCGTATGGAGAGACCAGTGCAGACCCGTCTAGATCCATGGGAGAGACCAGTGCAGACCATTATAGATCCATGGGAGAGACCAGTGCAGACCCGTCTAGATCCATGGGAGAGACCAGTGCAGACCCGTCTAGATCCATGGGAGAGACCAGTGCAGACCATTATAGATCCATGGGAGAGACCAGTGCAGACCCGTCTAGATCCATGGGAGAGACCAGTGCAGACCCGTCTAGATCCATGGGAGAGACCAGTGCAGACCATTATAGATCCATGGGAGAGACCAGTGCAGACCCGTCTAGATCCATGGGAGAGACCAGTGCAGACCATTATAGATCCATGGGAGAGACCAGTGCAGACCCGTCTAGATCCATGGGAGAGACCAGTGCAGACCCGTATAGATCCATGGGAGAGACCAGTGCAGACCCGTATAGATCCATGGGAGAGACCAGTGCAGACCCGTCTAGATCCATGGGAGAGACCAGTGCAGACCATTATAGATCCATGGGAGAGACCAGTGCAGACCCGTCTAGATCCATGGGAGAGACCAGTGCAGACCATTATAGATCCATGGGAGAGACCAGTGCAGACCCGTCTAGATCCATGGGAGAGACCAGTGCAGACCATTATAGATCCATGGGAGAGACCAGTGCAGACCCGTCTAGATCCATGGGAGAGACCAGTGCAGACCCGTATAGATCCATGGGAGAGACCAGTGCAGACCCGTATAGATCCATGGGAGAGACCAGTGCAGACCCGTATAGATCCATGGGAGAGACCAGTGCAGACCCGTATAGATCCATAGGAGAGACCAGCGCAGAGA